TTGACAAAAGACTAATAGAAATTTTTGACCAACTAACCTTTTTAATTAAGATAAGCAGTGGATAACTTCGGTTACTCATCTTTCACTTGAGCCCCTCCACTTAGCTGACCAAGGCTTCAATAAATCATAAACCTAGTAAGATCTGAAGAAAAATACCTAAGAATCTAGATCTAAAAAAACTTGAACCTTGTTGATTGAGTTACTTTTCTTCAACACTTGGTCACAAGTCACAACCCTAATTAACATTAAAAAAGTTTTGATTAAAATAAAACTTAGCCACCGAGAAAGTACAACATCTTTCTGATGAACTGATATACGCTCTCTCCAACCTGTCCAGACTCGACAACCTAGGCACCAACAACCTATAGATAACTCTACAATATATAGCTGGACATTACATTGAAATGGACCCGGATTGGTCTTTGTCAAGAGATAAACTAGGAAATAAATCAAACAAAAATATTACACAACTGTTTATTTAAAAACATAAGACAAGATCCTGTAATCTATAATTGGAATCAACCATTAAAGCAAAAAAAAATAATTCATTAACCGTCATTCCACACAAAACAATCTTTCAATACAACAAAATTTTGACAATGATTCTATCTTTCCCTTTGACCTATCACTCACAAATCGCGTCTGGTTTTGTATCTGTATTAGAATCGAACCAAACTTTTTTGTATCATCACCACAAAGGTCTCGACATGCAAAAAAGACAAGGAATACAGCTTCTTTTAGATATTTAACGTCAGTTTGTAGAATATTCACTAAGAATGAAGCTTCAAAAATACTAAAATTTGCCCTACGAAGCATCCTAGCATGGTTAACAAAAATTTATTTTCAACAATTATTAATTTTAATCTCACCAGCACGAAATTTTTTCGACCACCAATTCCCAATGGTCAAAAAATGTTAGCAGCCAAAACAGATTATGTACAGGACAGTGAAGGGTCTCGTATATCATTTTTAAAGATTTCTAACAAAATTTCAAGTGCAGCAATCGCCAATGTCTATGTACACAAAGACTATTAAAAAAACTCCACTCTCAACAGTAACAACATTACAACACAATGTTTAATAATAGGAGAAGTAATGATAGTTTATATTCAGTAGCTATAAACACGCAAGAAACTCTTGATGAAATTATAGATCTAGACAACAATTTTTTCAAATTCCGTCGAATTTTGTTGAAGAAGAAATAGTAGAAACACTATCTACAACAACTGTGAACAGATCATTTTCCCTATTCTTCCAATACTCAGAACTCCACATAACAAAATTACTTATTTCCTACAAACAACAGTACAGTTATTAATAAAACCACCCGCTTTTCCAAAATAGATCAATGACTAAAACACGACAAAACAACAATCAAAATGGAGCTACCAGACATATTTTTGCAAAACAAGACTGTAATTTTTTCCAAAACCTTTTCACCAAAACAGCAAGAAAAATTAAATAGACTACCAAAACACTAATAACCCAGCAAGTCATTTTACCAAAACTTGATAAAGATAAAACTTCACCGATTAAAAACATTCAAAGTGATACTAGTTCAGAGAAACCACATAGCAGTAACATATCACAGTTCTCCTAATCAAATAACTCTCAGGGAAGATCGGCAGATTGACTAAATCACAGAATTATCCACAAAAAAAGATAAAAACAGTTTGAAGAGTCACAACAACTTTTACATGATTTTATGTTCTAGATAGAGCTCTAGTGAAAGTAATTATTCAAAGTTAGACAGAAACACCTCATATTCAATTCCTGCTCAAGGAACTCTTCTAATAATCGAAGTCAAACTCATTTATTTAATTGTAAAAGAAATCACTCGAATAACACATCACATAACTTTTCTAAAATAACCATAAAAATCTATCAAAAAGAAAACTTAAATTTAACCGAAGCTGTGCGAGCACTCCTCCAAGCCCAAACAATAGTTTTACAGCCCTGAGACCCCCTTTTTTCAGCTCAAAATAGGGGTCTTCCGCTTCGATCAGTAGCTCCTGCAGCTCAACCAATGGTCGAACAAGCTCATCTAAGGGGTTTCGAAGACTTATTTTTCACGAGGAAGCGAATGGTCTTATCCCGGAAGCTCTACGAGCAAGCTCTGTTAATTTTTCAAGCCAACTGAAGCAACTTCGCTAGTTTTGGACCTCATTTCGAGCTTAATTGGGCTCAAGGATCAGGGACACTGTCTCTTATGCTTTTATACCTATTTCACTCGGAGCCAACTCGATTCGCCTAAGAGTTGGGACTACGAAATCGTGTTACAGCTTAAAGGTAACTACCAAAAAACACCCAATCTAGAAATCAGAACATCCCCATGGTTAGGTCTCTAAAAAGTTAAGACACGCGAACTCCGTTAAAAAAAGCGTGTAAAAACACTCAAGAATTTAAATTCAATTTTCACAAATTGACATAACTCTGGATTCAGGTAATTAATATAAGTAAGATAACTCTGGAAGTTTCAATTATTAATCTTAACTCAAGTACTTTTATCATTTGGACTATTGGGCAGCTTCACTCTTCTACCTGTTTATTCAAGTTTCTCTCTTGCCCAGCGGTAACCCTGTTGTATGAATTTGCAAATATCAATTTTACTCCAGCACAATTTTTGATCAACTTTTCCGCAATTATGATCCGGATCTTCTGATTAAACTTGATTTTCGTTGTCTCAAAAAAATTGAGCATCACATGGTCCATTCAAATTTTTCAAAATTACAGCTTCCCCCAAAGTCAAGGCCGAAATTCCCAATATGACCGACTGGCACAATCTCCCCGGACTCAAGATCGATGTCCTCATCGCGCGTCGTCGTCATGTCAGTGAGCCTCCAGAATGTTGATTGCCTCTCAAAATACACTGCCAATGGTCATTTACAGAAGCTTCTAGCAAACTCAAACTTATCTACATCCCCAAAATTCTCCGCCAAATCAAACTTTCATTCTATAGCTGAACATCAATCAATATCTTCATCCAATTGCACCATGGATTCCAGCTTCATGAGACGTTTCTCTAAAACTTTTTTTGTCCAACCCAGTCAGAAAGTAGTCATAATTATATTTTGAAAAACAGATCGATATTTTAGTTAACAATATATTGTAGGTAAAGTTTTTTTTTGTTCACTCAGATTTCAATTGAACTCACATTCAAGCCCCATTTCCTTATCCCGCTCAAGACTCAAGAATGCAACCAGAGTACTGGTTGGTGCTTTTTTACTATCGGTTTTTCATCACGTTCTCTTCAATCCATCACAGTACCAGCAACGAGCTCACCAGAGACGTCACTTTCTGTTGATGATATGGGAATCCAATCGACCGAATCTCCTCAACACCCCACATCAAGCAGATATTGGGCTTTACTGGGTACGACACAGTCTAACCTAAACAATGGCAAGATTCAAATAAATGCTCCGCAGATTGCGTGTTCCTGAAGCCTCGAGCAAAGGTTCGAACTCCATCGTTTATGAAAGTATCGAATTGTGCTAGTCCACCGCAAGGGCGTTATTTAGTACTTCCTTAGTAGCTGGTGCGATTGATGTGATATTTTTGACAGCAGTACACGCTTTAGAACCAAGAAGTCCTTATCAACAATCTTTCTCCGGCTAGACGCTTCAACCATTGACATGTGTAGCGGGTAATGGCTCCCGCAGAAATTTGCTATCGCCAAGTTCACCGTAAAAATCTGGTAGCAGTCAGCTAAAATTTGAACCTCATTTTCCTGTTTTTCTTTAATCTCACTAATCACATGGCCAAATCTATTCTCTGTAACAACTGATTTCTCACACAAAGTTTTTCCTCACAAGAGCGCCCATTTTGAAGAGACTCACGAGAAACACTGGTCGTTCCTGATGAATAGCCCTGGATACGATGAAAGAACTAGAGAACTGTCTAAAGAATCTGGACTGCGGAGTGTCCAGAAGATGTCGAAATTGGGCCAGGCAGCATGAAGCGCAAGTGAATAGGTTGTAGTTGAGGAGACAATTAGGCCGAATGTGGGAGAAAATACTGTTGGAGTACTTCGAGAACGACATTAGAGCACATTCGTCTGCTCAGATTCTGATGGCGAACCCTTTCACCCGGACTGATGGTCAGTTAGTGTTCTCGTGTTGCTTGGCTGTAGTTGAATTGGAAGACCTGACCTCATGAGACAAACTGAAGATTTGTACTGGATGATGATGCAGTATGTTGCTCGAGATGACACCGAATTGAAACTTGCGAGGAGGAAGGACGCCACTTGTTTCT